AATAAAAATAAATAAAAATAAATAAAAATAAATAAAAATAAATAAAAATAAATAAAAATAAATAAAAATAAATAAAAATAAATAAAAATAAATAAAAATAAATAAAAATAAATAAAAATAAATAAAAATAAATAAAAATAAATAAAAATAAATAAAAATAAATAAAAATAAATAAAAATAAATAAAAATAAATAAAAATAAATAAAAATAAATAAAAATAAATAAAAATAAATAAAAATAAATAAAAATAAATAAAAATAAATAAAAATAAATAAAAATAAATAAAAATAAATAAAAATAAATAAAAATAAATAAAAATAAATAAAAATAAATAAAAATAAATAAAAATAAATAAAAATAAATAAAAATAAATAAAAATAAATAAAAATAAATAAAAATAAATAAAAATAAATAAAAATAAATAATAAATAAAAATAAATAAAAATAAATAAAAATAAATAAAAATAAATAAAAATAAATAAAAATAAATAAAAATAAATAAAAATAAATAAAAATAAATAAAAATAAATAAAAATAAATAAAAATAAATAAAAATGAATAAAAATAAATAAAAATTAATAAAAATTGATAAAAATTAATAAAAATTAATAAAAATTGATAAAAATTGATAAAAATTAATAAAAATTAATAAAAATTAATAAAAATTAATAAAAATTAATAAAAATGAATAAAAATTAATAAAAATTAATGAAAATTAATGAAAATTAATAAAAATTAATAAAAATTATTAAAAATTAATAAAAATTAATAAAAATTAATAAAAATTAATAAAAATTAATAAAAATTAATTAATAAAAATTAATTATTAAAAATTATTAAAAATTATTAAAAATTATTAAAAATTATTAAAAATTATTAAAAATTATTAAAAATTATTAAAAATTATTAAAAATTATTAAAAATTATTAAAAATTATTAAAAATTATTAAAAATTATTAAAAATTATTAAAAATTATTAAAAATTATTAAAAATTATTAAAAATTATTAAAAATTATTAAAAATTATTAAAAATTATTAAAAATTATTAAAAATTATTAAAAATTATTAAAAATTATTAAAAATTATTAAAAATTATTAAAAATTATTAAAATTATTAAAAATTATTAAAAATTATTAAAAATTATTAAAAATTATTAAAAATTATTAAAAATTATTAAAAATTATTAAAAATTATTAAAATTATTAAAAATTATTAAAAATTATTAAAAATTATTAAAAATTATTAAAAATTATTAAAAATTATTAAAAATTATTAAAAATTATTAAAAATTATTAAAAATTATTAAAAATTATTAAAAATTATTAAAAATTATTAAAAATTATTAAAAATTATTAAAAATTATTAAAAATTATTAAAAATTATTTAAAATTATTAAAAATTATTTAAAATTATTAAAAATTATTAAAAATTATTAAAAATTATTAAAAATTATTAAAAATTATTAAAAATTATTAAAAATTATTAAAAATTATTAAAAATTATTAAAAATTATTAAAAATTATTAAAAATTATTAAAAATTATTAAAAATTATTAAAAATTATTAAAAATTATTAAAAATTATTAAAAATTATTAAAAATTATTAAAAATTATTAAAAATTATTAAAAATTATTAAAAATTATTAAAAATTATTAAAAATTATTAAAAATTATTAAAAATTATTAAAAATTATTAAAAATTATTAAAAATTATTAAAAATTATTAAAAATTATTAAAAATTATTAAAAATTATTAAAAATTATTAAAAATTATTAAAAATTATTAAAAATTATTAAAAATTATTAAAAATTATTAAAAATTATTAAAAATTATTAAAAATTATTAAAAATTATTAAAAATTATTAAAAATTATTAAAAATTATTAAAAATTATTAAAAATTATTAAAAATTATTAAAAATTATTAAAAATTATTAAAAATTATTAAAAATTATTAAAAATTATTAAAAATTATTAAAAATTATTAAAAATTATTAAAAATTATTAAAAATTATTAAAAATTATTAAAAATTATTAAAAATTATTAAAAATTATTAAAAATTATTAAAAATTATTAAAAATTATTAAAAATTATTAAAAATTATTAAAAATTATTAAAAATTATTAAAAATTATTAAAAATTATTAAAAATTATTAAAAATTATTAAAAATTATTAAAAATTATTAAAAATTATTAAAAATTATTAAAAATTATTAAAAATTATTAAAAATTATTAAAAATTATTAAAAATTATTAAAAATTATTAAAAATTATTAAAAATTATTAAAAATTATTAAAAATTATTAAAAATTATTAAAAATTATTAAAAATTATTAAAAATTATTAAAAATTATTAAAAATTATTCAAAATTATTCAAAATTATTCAAAATTATTCAAAATTATTCAAAATTATTAAAAATTATTAAAAATTATTAAAAATTATTAAAAATTATTAAAAATTATTAAAAATTATTAAAAATTATTAAAAATTATTAAAAATTATTAAAAATTATTAAAAATTATTAAAAATTATTAAAAATTATTAAAAATTATTAAAAATTATTAAAAATTATTAAAAATTATTAAAAATTATTAAAAATTATTAAAAATTATTAAAAATTATTAAAAATTATTAAAAATTATTAAAAATTATTAAAAATTATTAAAAATTATTAAAAATTATTCAAAATTATTCAAAATTATTAAAAATTATTAAAAATTATTAAAAATTATTAAAAATTATTAAAATTATTAAAAATTATTAAAAATTATTAAAAATTATTAAAAATTATTAAAAATTATTAAAAATTATTAAAAATTATTAAAAATTATTAAAAATTATTAAAAATTATTAAAAATTATTAAAAATTATTAAAAATTATTAAAAATTATTAAAAATTATTAAAAATTATTAAAAATTATTAAAAATTATTAAAAATTATTAAAAATTATTAAAAATTATTAAAAATTATTAAAAATTATTAAAAATTATTAAAAATTATTAAAAATTATTAAAAATTATTAAAAATTATTAAAAATTATTAAAAATTATTAAAAATTATTAAAAATTATTAAAAATTATTAAAAATTATTAAAAATTATTAAAAATTATTAAAAATTATTAAAAATTATTAAAAATTATTAAAAATTATTAAAAATTATTAAAAATTATTAAAAATTATTAAAAATTATTAAAAATTATTAAAAATTATTAAAAATTATTAAAAATTATTAAAAATTATTAAAAATTATTAAAAATTATTAAAAATTATTAAAAATGATTAAAAATTATTAAAAATTATTAAAAATTATTAAAAATTATTAAAAATTATTAAAAATTATTAAAAATTATTAAAAATTATTAAAAATTATTAAAAATTATTAAAAATTATTAAAAATTATAAAAATTATTAAAAATTATTAAAAATTATTAAAAATTATTAAAAATTATTAAAAATTATTAAAAATTATTAAAAATTATTAAAAATTATTAAAAATTATTAAAAATTATTAAAAATTATTAAAAATTATTAAAAATTATTAAAAATTATTAAAAATTATTAAAAATTATTAAAAATTATTAAAAATTATTAAAAATTATTAAAAATTATTAAAAATTATTAAAAATTATTAAAAATTATTAAAAATTATTAAAAATTATTAAAAATTATTAAAAATTATTAAAAATTATTAAAAATTATTAAAAATTATTAAAAATTATTAAAAATTATTAAAAATTATTAAAAATTATTAAAAATTATTAAAAATTATTAAAAATTATTAAAAATTATTAAAAATTATTAAAAATTATTAAAAATTATTAAAAATTATTAAAAATTATTAAAAATTATTAAAAATTATTAAAAATTATTAAAAATTATTAAAAAGTAATAAAAAATTAATAAAAAAAATTTCCAGGTGGTCGCATGAAAAAATTTCTCTCGAGTAACTAAAACTGTTATTCACTTTTAATAATTGAGGTTTGAGAAAAAAACCGATCCAGCGAAGCGGGATCGGGTCAGCTAGTATAACCTATAAAATTGACAAATCAAGTATATCAAACGATCCCTCCTTGCGGTTCTGGTCAGTTCTGGTATACACTGCCGTCCTAGCAAGAAAGGTCCTATCTGAAAATTTGTTTGGAAATAATCGAGTTTTTAACCATTTTTCGCAGACATACCCATACAGCACACCAAATCCTTTGGATATCTATCCATGGTGGATATCTATTTTATATCCATGATATGTAATTTATAGACATGCAAATGTCCATAAATAATAGTAATTATATAGCAAATTATTAAAAAATTACGCCATTGTGCTCGCCATTGTGGCTAATAGTACCGTTCAGATATTTAAAATAATTTTTTTTTAAGGTGTATTCAATATCCCATGGACATCCACTAAATATTTTAAAGTCTAGGCGCGAACGCAAACCATCGTGGATATTAAACAATATATAAAAGGTCTGTGGTGGATATCCATTAGATGTTATTTGATTTTACTTACTAGTATAGATGGCGATACCACTTTCGCATCTACTCATGCTCCACCCGCCGTAATTGAGTTTGATCGAAATTTGTGTCCTAATCAGACTCCATTAGAGACTGGAGTCGAGAATTTCCATTTATTGCTGAAGAGTCCTAATAAGGATGACTTTCTCCTTAGTGGGAAAAATCAAAGGCAGAGTGTTGAAAATATTTTGAGTGTTGAAAATATTTTTTATCTCTGCTATTTTTTTCGACGTTATTCAATAATCATTGGTTACTTATGAACCTCTACTAAAGATAAAATATGTTGCTGAATATCCGAATATCTTCTATATCCTGGAATAAATAGGTTGAAAAAACTGCTATTTTTGCAGATAGGACCTTTCTTGTTAGGAGGGCAGTCATAGCCCTAGGGCAGTACACCGGTCGACTCCCCGAGCCACTACTTCTCGCACGGAGAATCGATTCAAGATCGATTCCAAGATGACACTTCTTGTCATTTTGACAACTCCCATCTATTCTGTCAAAGTCACACCACAATAACACCAAAATAATAACTCAATCATGGAAACAGAAATTATTCATAAATAATAAAAGGACTAAAGGACAAAAATACTTTGAAATGGAACTATTTCGCACAAATGATTTCTACATATTCGTTAAGGGTGAATATTCTTTGTGGTGGGATCGATATACTGGAGCTTTTATACCCAAAACAGGTTAGTTATAAAGTTAATTCATTTAATTGACCTAAATCATTTATTGACCAACTAATACGCCTACGGATTCATTTCCATTTATATAATTAATTTTCAACGTTGTTAATGTTCAGTTTAATTGATTGCAATTAAGCACTGGTATATTAATTTAATATGTACCTATACCTGTATGTAAACATTTCAAAAAAATCTTAGGTATTATTGCTCAATAATTTAGGTAAATAAGGAAAAACAAATGTGTTTTATTCAAAATGCATTACACATGGGACGACAATTTAAAAACTTGCAATGGCTATATATCATTAAAACCTCAATTTAAACTGTTTAATCTTAAATAAAATAACTTATACTCATCAACCCCCTATCAGCCACCTACCTCCACAACAACAACAAAAATAATGTACTGTATAGGGTATAACTTATTGAAAATAATTTTTACGAGAATTTTTACTACCTTTCCAATGATGTAGTAGTTGTTTTTGATAGGGGTGCGTTTTGTATTTTGTCATTTAAGTTTCCCTTTCTTGTCCTAGAAATGGTTTTAAGTATTTGATGATATCATCTTCAGTTCAAGAGATATAGCCATTGTAAGTTTTTAAAATATCACCTCCTATATTTAATTATAAGTACATATACATAGGGGGAGTTCAATACAACATATATATTAGGTTCAGACTAACTATAAATCATGGGCTTTTGCCACAGACGTAGTAGGGAGATGAAGCTGGTGATGCATGTGATGAAGCTGGTATCAGGTGCAAAATATTGTTGCCATGTATGTTAATGTCATTTGTGACATTACAAGTTTTATTGTGTAAGCTTTATTTTTTCGGGAGGTATTTATTTTGTTTGTTTTATTTTTATATAGTGTTAGTTGAAAGACCTTGAGGACATAATGGTATCTTTTACATTACACAGTTATACAAGCCAAAAAATCATTTGGGATAGCATATCATAGGTTAGTAGACAAGATCATACTGAATAATGTATGATTATTACAGATTTTTAAAACTCGATAAATGAATACAGTTTTTACATAGAGGTTATTGGCAGCCAACCAAATATATGTTCAAGATATTTTTAATTAAAATTTGATCTTCATTGTGTAGAGTCCATTTGAAAAATGATGCTATCCCAAAAATATATGTGTGCATAATTTAAGTTAAATTACCATATATTTTCTTATTTATTATGTTAAATAAGAACATTTTAATTTCAAAAAAGTTTTTGTAGTTTTATAATTTCCTTAATCTAAGAGTATTTCTTTTATCATGTAATACATTGTGAATACTTAAGCCTACATTTTAAAACCTGTATCATGACTTATCATTTGTTTTCAAACTTCTAAACTCTATGGTAAGGTGCCCTGAGCCTGTTGGCATTGGTGAAAGTAAAATAATATATTTTCCAAATGAGAGTACGCAATACATAATAGCATTTATTCGATCGAATACGTAACATGATAACATGAATTGTGTAAACTCAAACAAATCTAATTTTATTCATGTTTGAAATTTGGCTTGCAACGACCCAACGAACGGACAAGTGTTTTTTTTCCTGTCTAAACTTGCAATGTACAACACTTTATATATTAAGCGCTGCATCAGTCGCGATTTCATTTGTTGCCAGATGCCCAATCGATAATTAACTTAGCGAAGTGAAAAGGTGCATGGGGTAAAGACATCTGTTTTTGAAACTTTAGTTTTTTGTAGACTTGTATTTTGTGTCGTGAATTGTGAATTAAGGTGAGTTCATCTAAAATTTATTTTTTATTTTAGATTTATTAAAATATTAAAAGCCAAAAACTTGCATCTCAAAAATCATTTTATATTTGATTATATAAACATCATTGTTAATTGAAGTAAATTCAAAACAGAATAATTGATAAGCACTAATTTTAGAAATTTCAAAATAAAGTAATGTTGAGAAAATACTTTCGAGTTTGAGATGTCAAAACATTTTCATTTTTCATGATTAATTTTTCAATTTGTTTACTTATGTATTAATTTCTTTACGGTATACAGGATGTCAGAAAAGAAGAAGAAATTGTCTGGATACCAAAATTTGCTAAATAAAAAAAGAGAGAGGAAGAACTGGAAAACCAGGTCAAAATTATGCATTTTTTACAACAATAATACAGCTGAATCCCAGCACTATGGCCAAAGAAATTATGTCCTAATAATATTCAAAATTAGTAGTACGTGGCCCTACTCATTATCAAAACAAAAAGGATATTTATCCAAGAAATAGTCTGGAGTCAGGGCGTTTTTCAATACACAGTTACTTCTTTAGAATTATACCGAACAAAGAAAAAATTGGTTGTTGTATTCCGAAACAAAAAATTCACTTTACTGCTTTTGTAAAATTTTTAATGACAGCGATTTGAAATCTGTTCGCCTTAGTGATGAATCTGGTTACAATGACTGGCAGCATTTAAGTGAACATTTTAACATTCATGAAAAAAGCAAGTTTAATTTCAAAATTGTAATAAAAATGAAATAATTGATTCTGAAATTCAAAATGTAATAAACAGAAAAATTAAATACTGGCAAGCTGTTATAGAAAGAATTTTTCTACGTGATTCAGTTTTTAAGTGAGCAAAATTTAACTTTTCAAGGAAGTAGTAATAAGTTGTTAGAGAAAAATAATGGTAACTTTTTAAAATGCATAGAAATTATTTCCAAATTCGACCCGATTATGTCAGCAGATACAAAACACTCTCAAATAAAAGACTACAAAAACTATCTTAGGGATAACATACAAAATAAAATAATCAACTTGATCAGTGAAAATATCAAATTCAAAATTATAGAACTAACTAAAAAGGCAAAATATTATTCCATATTATTAGACTGCACTCCTGACTCTAGTCACCAAGAACAAATTTCAGTTTGTATAAGATTTGTTAATTTAAAGAGCACGGGAATTAGTATAGAAGAATATTTTTTATTATTTTGTCCTATAGATGATGTGTCGGGTGAAGGCTTGACAAAATTTTTTTTGTCGGCGTTAGAGAAAGAAGGCTTAAATATCAACGATTTGCCTGGGTCAGGGTTACGACAATGGGTCAAATATGGGTGGTAAATATAAGGGTCTACAAATAAAAAATTGGATTTGAATCCCCGAGCTTTCTTTGTTCCTTGCTGCAATTATAGCCTAAATTTAGTCATCAGTGATGCCACAAAATCGAATACTTTGAGCATCAATTTTTTTTCTTTAGTTCAAGAACTGTGTGTATTTTTTTCAGCTTCTACTAAACGCTGGTCAATTCTGAAATCAAATTTATCTAAAGTAACAAATTTAGCTTTAAAACCTTAATGGAATACTCGATGCTCTAGTATAATAGATGCAATAACTCCTTTAAGGAATCAACTTGGGGAGGTTTATGATACTTTGTTTGAATTAAGCGAAGGAAACTTTGAAAATAACGTAAAAAAATTAGCTGCATCGTTGGCCAAAAAATTGCAAAATTTTGAGTTCGTTTGCATTCTTATATTGTGGTATAATATTTTAAGTAAAGTTAACATTGTTAGTAAAATTATTCAAAAACCGCTCCAATAAAGGTTTTAATGATCTATTGATTGATGCTAAAGTTTAGACATAGAACCTAAATTCAAAAAACAAAAAGGTCTAAAACCGCGAAAAATAAAAAAACATTTTGATTATAAATCTAAAGATGAACAGATCCACGACGAAACTTTAAAGTTCAAAGTTGATTGTTTTTTTAATGTTCTAGCTCTAGATGTAATCATAACATCAGTGGATGAGAGATTCCAATTACTTTTTATGGAATATTGATAAATTTAAAAATTATTCTGAAAACGAACAATTAGAATTATGTCAAAAAGTTGAAAATTTATTAAATGTCAAAACGAGACATAACTGCAGTGGAACTTGTTAAAGAATTGCAATACAGTGCAACCTCTTTAATCCGAACACCTAATTGTCAGACCTTGTTCGGATTATCGAATTGTTCGGATTAACGAATATACAATAATACACATCTTACACATTTTTAGACCTTTAGATCTATGTATGTATATTGATTTTTGTACATTTAAATTCATTATCAAACTACATATGGGCGACGCGGGCCGCGCTGCAGGTCTTTTCCCGTCAGCGTTCGGATTACAGAGACGGCGTTTGGACTATCTCGCATCACGATTTGCGTTCGGATTAGCGTAATTCGGATTAGGTGGGTTCGGATTATCGAGGTTGCACTTACAACGTTTTGATGAAAAAGTTATTACGTCTTCAGAAGAAACTTTAAATTATATAACAATTAACAACTTAGTGGATTCTTTTCCTAATACGAGCATAGTACTTCGTAATTTTTTATTTCTTGTGCTTTTGTATCATATATTACATTTGAAACTAAAATACAAAATTTTTGTAATACTGTTAGAATTAATATATTTCTGTTTTCTAAAAGTTTATAATTATGTTATGTATCTCAATAAGAAAATACTTGTATGGCTTGTACTTGTAAAATATAAAAATGAAAATAAATTTATAAAAATACTTTTTAAAATTATTTTTTAATAGTGGATGATAATACCTAACTTAACCTGTATCTGTACTCACATATGAACGTAATACAAATTTGGAGCGTTACTTTAAATTTGCACAAGGGCGCCAAAAGTTCTAGGCGCGGGCCGGTATAAGTACTTAATATTTTCTTTTTATTACTTACTTTTAAATAAAACGATAAATCAGTATATATGAAAAATAAGTGCCTGAAATAATTTGAAAATCCGGAAACAAATCTCAACAATCCCCCAAGAATTATTAACCAAGACATCCATGTAAGCCGGAAAAGTGTCCTTAACGTTAGACTATCAACGACATTGACTGTCGAGGTTCCTAGATAGCCTAACGGTAAGGGCACATGTGGGGTATACATGGATGTCTGGGTTCGATCCCCAGCGACGACAAGTTTTTTTCTTTAAATCTGCAAGAATTTGTTTTCACCTTTGGGATCCAGGGGCGGTCTTAATAAT